CCCATATCCGTGCTCCCTTTTTCCTCAAAGCTTCTGGAAAGACTTGTCCTTACCCGTCTGACTTGCTTCCTCAATTCCAACTCTCTCATTGACCCTCTTCAGTCTGGCTTCCCCCCCCCCTTCACTGTACTGAGACTGCTCTTATAAAAGTCACCAACGACCTAATCGCAGCTAAATCCAAAGGGTACTACACTATACTAATTCTTCTTGACCTCTCTGCTGCCTTTGACATTGTTGACCATGTTTTTATTCTCCAAACTCTTCAATTACTCAGTCTCTTTGACACTGTCCTCTCGTGGTTTTCCTCCTATCTCTCCCAATGCTCATTCAGTGTCTCCTTTTCTAATAATATGTCCTCCCTTCGTCCTGTCTCGGTTGGAGTCCCCCAAGGCTCTGTACTCTGTATAGTCCCCTTCTATTTTCTCTTTATACTGCCTCTCTTGGCAAACTTATTGGATTCTAATACCACCTGTACGCTGATGACACTCAGATATACCTCTCCTTCCTGGACCTCTCCCCTGCCATACTGCAACGTATCACTGCTTGCCTTTCTTCTATCTCTGACTGGATGTCCTCCCGCTTTTTTAAACTCAATCTCTCTAAAACTGAATTCCTTGTCTATCCTCCTCCTAATTCTGATCCCCCTCTTTCGCTCTCCCTTCGAGTGAGTGGTACCCACATCAGTCTATCCTTGCAAGCGTGCTGTCTTGGCGTTATATTTGATTCTGGCCTCAAATTTTAGCCTCGCATCCAGTCTGTTACCAAATCCTGTAGATTCCACCTTATCATACATGGCTCGCATCTGCCCCTTTCTTACACAAGATGCTACTAAGGAGCTTGTGCTCTAGCAATTTCTCACATGGATTATTTTATCTCTCTCCTAATAGGTCTTCCCACAAGTCGTATTGCCCCACTACAGTCTGTACAGTCTGATTTTCCTCTCCTGTCGCTCCTCTCACACCTCTCCCTTCTGTTAGTCCTTAAATTGGCTTCCTGTATCCTATAGTCAATTCAAGGTACTAATCCACACCTATAAAGGACTGACAATTCTAGCCCCTCTGATATTTATTCACTGATCTGCAGGTATGCCTTCTCCTGCTCTGCTCATGACCTTCTCCTGTCTGCTGCTCACACCCATGCAGCCAACTCATGCTTGCAGGACTTCTCACGGGTAGCTCCTTTCCTTTGGTATAGCCGGCCTACGACCCTAGTCTTCAATCATTTAAAAAGTGCCTCAAAACCTATCTCTGTAGGAAAGCTTGTGGCCCCCCAGAGTAACCCCTACCTCACATACCTGTCCCTTGCTGTCTCCTAAAGGGCAGCACTCTATTCTCTCCTCCAGCTCTGCTTCACTGCACCTTGTTTGATTGCTACCTCCTGTCCTGTTGTGTTTTACGACCCACTTCCTATAAATTGTAAGCTCTTCAACCTATTGTTCCTGAAAGTTTTTGTAATTGTCTCATTTATTGTTAAATATTTGACAATATTGTAAAGCACTACAGAATATGCTGGCGCTATATAAATACCAGTAATAATAAAAAAAATAATGGATTTATGATACAAATTCTACATCAGTAACTAAAAGCTGCTAAATTATGCTGTTATTTTCTCATGCTGATTTATCTGCAACTTGGAAAATAAATTTAATATCAATGCTCCCCAAACAATATGCAAAATATCTATATTTGGATCTCATTTTTCTGGGGAACATAATAGAACTTATGCAAGCGAATGAATATTTGGATGGTAGCAGTGATAAAAAATGTATAGTATACAATTAGATAAAGGGTGTACATCTCTTGCCTTGATTTCCAGTTCTTGACGTGACAAATGCACATGTTGACAGTATGCCATCTAAGCTCATAAGCAGCTTGTGCCATCATTTATCTATGAGACATTTTGATTTATAGACGTTGCTAAAAATGACATTACATTATCTTATAAAAAGTTTCAAGGAAAAGTGGAAATATTAACCTTGACATATTCTATTTTAAGACATTTTAAGACTATGTATAAGAAAAATGAATCACAATAAAATGAATGTAAAAGATAAAAAGAATAATAGGAAAACTGATTACCAAAATCATAAACTTGCTAGCTGCTTAGAGTCTTTTTTATTTGCATTTTTTTATGGCCAGTGCTGAGTATTTTCTGGAGTTCTGTTGTTATTTAAATGGCGATAAAATAATTATTCCATCTTGGTGTATAGTTGATTTGTGTGTGTCAATTCAAATGTTAGCAGTATTTTCAATTTTGCAATTATTATTCTATGATAAGTCTATCGGTGGTGCTTTTTGTTTTGGTAGTGGCACCAATATTGATCAAATAAATAAGGTGATGCTGCACAGACAAGTATATGTTGTGCTTCTTTTTCATAAAATCATTCCTGAAACTGGAATATTTTACACAAGGGAAGACGAATATGAGGTGTTCTTAATTTTAATAAAAATTGCATCATCAATTTTAGTTTTATTATACTCATTATCATACACTGATCAGTCACAACATTAAAATCACTGACAGGTGATGTGAATAGCAATGATTATATTGTAAGAATGGCACATATCAAGGGGTAGGATAGATTAGGCTGCAAATAAGCTGTCAGTTTTCAAATTTTATGTGTTGGAAGCAGGAGAAATTGGCAAGCGAAAAGATATGAGTGACTTTGGCAAGGTCTAAATAGTGATGGCTAGATAACTTGATTGGATCATCATCATAACAGCAAGTCTTGCGGGGTGTTCCCAATATGCAGGGTTAGTACTGCAAAAGTGGTGCAAGGAAGGACAACCGGCGAGCCAGCGTCAGGGTCATGGGCTCCCAAAGCTCATGATGCATGAGCGGAGCGGAGCAAAGGTTAGCCCATTTTGTATGATCAGACAGAAAAGCTAATGTGTCTCAGTTTGCTCAAAAGCCTAAATTCTGACCATGATAGAAAGGTGTGAGAACAGACATTACATCCTAGTTGGCTGCATATGGGGCTGCGTAGCCAGTAGCCTGGTCACAGTGCCAACGATGACACTTGTGCACTGACAAAAACACCTTCAACTGAGATGTGAGCATCAGAAATGAACCAAGGGTAGGAGGTTGTCTAGTCTGAATTTTGTTTTCTGGTAAATCAGGTAGATTGCCGGATGTGTGTGTGTTGTGTACCTGAGGAAGTGATAGCAGCATGAAGCACTATCGGAAGAAGGCAGGCCAGTGGAAGCAGTATTATGCTCTAGAATACTCTTACTTTACTGAGAGGGTAGTGGGTGCATGTAATAGCCTTCCAGCTGAAGTGGTAGAGGTTAACACAGTGAAGGAGTTTAAGCATGCGTGGGATAGGCATAAGGCTATCCTAACTATAAGATAAGGCCAGGGACTAATGAAAGTATTTAGAAAATTGGGCAGAACAGATGGACCAAATGGTTCTTATCTGCCGTCACATGCTATGTTTCTATATTTCTAATAGATTCTGCTCAGAAATCTTGGGTCCTTGCATGCATGACTAACTGCTGGAGCTGAGTATATATAACTAATACTATCGTAGCTTTACATTTGAACAGTCCCCCGATAAGCCCTGACCAACTTACCATCTCTTGCAATCTAGTCCATGCTGTGTCTTAGTTATGTAAAATTCTCACTAGTGATAGAATTATTTTTTTTTAATTCTCCCATTGTACTAAACATTTGTAAAAAGAAAAAAAAGATAGAACAATCTCTGTTAGGAACTTACAATATTTGTGCCATTATTTCTAAGAGCCGTAAAAGTATTTTTCTTATTATTTTCTTTTGTTATGTTAAATTACTCTGGCATCCTGTGAAACATGATCATATTTACATTATTTTGAATATTTGCACAAAAAAAGACATGGGAAGGCTCAAGATTTAAGAAAACCTTTATTAATACAGAAAGAAAGGACAGAGGACAAACATGCCTTCACCGTGAGAGGGAAATAACCTCTGTTTTCTAATCAGATTTGCATAATAACAGCCAACAGGCAGTATCGGGAAGTAATCAACAATATAAATATCTTGACAGACATAAAAATAAACACTGTAATGAAAGTCGCAATCATTTTTCACATATTGCCTGTAATTCCATTCTTGAGATATTTGAATTATAAATATCCACAATGAAAATCTTGATTACCTTAGTAGATTACCCATAATCATTTTATCTATAAATTGCTTTACATTTTGATTTGTAAGTATAAATAAAGAATAATAAAAAAAATATATATTATACATTTTAATTTAAAAAAAAAAGAATTAAAACACAAAAACAAGTAAAAACTCTAACTGTAGGGAAGGATGGATGGCTGAATGGGTGGGTCAGTGGGTAAACAGAAGATCTGTGTAACAAAAAGGACAGACATAGACAGATAGATAGATATATAGAGATAAATAGATAGATAGATAGATAGATAGATATCAGTTATCTCTTTTTTTAGTGCTTTACATGGCTCGTTTGGTTTGTGATTCATTTGACTGTCAGCTCAGAGTTTCTTAATTTGACATGTTACCAAATCAGTCTAAATTCAAACAGATTGTACTTTTTCAAACTCTATTCTAAAATAAGATCTCCAGAAGTAGACAGTATATGCAAGGGGAAGTGAGCTAAAGCAGTGATGGCTGGTGAAGTGGCAGGATGCACCATCGTTGTAATTTGATCCCACCACTCACTGTAAAGTTTGCCCCTGATCTATTGCACTTTGCCTACTTAAAGAGATTCACATTTGAAACATTTTTAAAACATTAGCTGGGACTAAACGATTGGCAAGATACTGAGTTTCTCATAATTTGTCCATTCATAGCGTTCTCATATTCTATGTTCTTGTTATAATAAAAAAATCATGTTTAAAAAACAAACAAAAAAAACCAGGTACCATTACTGGTAAGGTTATAAGCAGCATTCTTCCATTAGCATCCTGATTAAAGATTTGAATTAAAATCTGAAATGCTGATTTCTTAAATAAACGTTACATTTTATTTTTTAATAGAAATTCCTAGTGTACTATCCCTATGACTCTTCTACAGTTTTGCTGAATTAACCAGTAGGTATTAGGTAATCTTTGTGCAGACCTTTGAGTGTTGATTTCTTTTTGTTTATATCTATCTATCTATCTATCTATCTATCTATCTATAAAGGTTTGCACAAAGATTGCCTAATACCTAGTGGTTAATCCAGCAAAACTGTAGAAGAATCATAGGGATAGTACACTAGGAATTTCTATGAAAAAAATAAAATGTAACGTCTATTTAAGAAATCAGCATTTCAGATTTTAATTCAAATCTTTCATCAGGATGTTGATGGAAGAATGTTCCTTATAACCTGACCAGTAATGGTACCTGTTTTTTTTTTTTTTTTTAAATATGATTTTTTATATATCTCTTCAGTCAACTATAAATGTATGTACAGAGTTTTGCAGTTAGCTCCCCCCTCCCCCCAAGAATAATAAAGAAGCATAATAAAAATGTTTTATATAAAAAAAAAACATACACCATTACTGGTAAGGTTATAAGGAGCAATCCGAGTCTCAGTAGAGCAAACTGCTAAAATACTTGTCATTTGGTTATCTCTAAGTGTAATGAGCAGAGATAATCAAGATTACATCACTTTGCAAAACTAAATGAAACCACTCCTATATATACACAAAGTTGAGAGAAAAGTGTGAAATGTAGACAGGATGTTTGCTTCATCTATTAATTGGCAATATTAATATGGGTTTGGACAAAAGAAAAAAAAGGATTATAATGTCCCAACATTAAGGCTCTGAGCTGCATTTAGTAATCTGATGGGTAAAATGTCCCTATAAATATACCTGCTGTCTTTGTGTCTCACATTGATAGGTGTTACTTGTATACATCATAATGTCCTCAAAATAAAAATGTTTTTGCTACAGCGTTTTCAAATTTCTATTTCTAATCCTTAACATTTCACACTACGAACAAAATATATTTGAAGTGCTTGAAACCAAGCCGACTTATAATTATATAAATTTAAGATTTCATTTTCAATTAAAATGTCTCACCTCGTTCCTTGTTAAGGTTAAGTTTAACATTTCCATTCATATCGTATTTTATATGCGGTTTCAGTTTGGTTTATCCTGTAACTTGTTAGGTCAAGAAGATTGCTGAGGTCTCTCTGTGCAGGTTGGCCTAGACCTAGAGCATTTGCTTAGCATCTTATACTAGCAAGTTAAACTAGTTTAATTACAATCTATATTAAATAGTACATCACATATAGTTTTTTTTTCAGATCAGCTGTGTTTCTGCTTGGACATAGAATCAAACTAATCACAGGTTTTGATCATGCAGATTTCTTCAACAAGTTTGTTAATCTTACATAATCCAGTTTTTACATGGTAGTTGACTTTGGTACACTAGGATCTGCTCAGTGGCATACACATAACCCATGGGGCCCCGGTGCGAAACTGATCCCCCCCGACAGACACACACACACACATACAGAGACACACATACATACATACATACATACAGAGACACACACAGACAGATACATACAGACACATACATACACACACGACACATACATACAAACAGAAAGACAGGCACACATACATACAGACAGACATACACATACACACAGACACATACACACATACAGACAGACACACACACAAGACACACATACATACATAAAAACAGACAGGCACATACAAACACACGCGACACATACATACAAACAGAAAGACAGGCACACATACATACAGACATACACACAGACACATGCACACAAACAGACAGACACACACACACACAAGACACACATACATACATAAAAACAGACAGGCACATACATAGAGACAGACAAACACACACACGACAGACATACAAAAACACATTCAAACAGACAGGCACACATACATACAGACAAGACACACATACATACATACAAACAGACAGACAGACACATACACACATACAGACTGACACATACACACACACACATACAAAGACACATGCATACATAAAAACAGACAGGCACACATACATACAGACAGATAGACACAGACACATACATACAGACACACATACATACAAAGACACATACAGACAGATAGACAGACAGACACACACACACACACACACACACAAGACATACATACAAAGACACATACATACAGACAGATAGACACAGACACATACAGACAGATAGACACAGACACATACATACACACACACACACACAATATTCAAGTCCCCCTCCTGTTTCCTACCTTTTAGGTGCAGGAGGGTGACTTTCCCTGGGGTTCAGTGGTGGCTCAGGTTGATGGGAGTCAGAGTTCCCACTCTGACTCCCTGTTCTTTCTTCCTCCCGCACGGGCTCTTTGTGTTAGGTGGGAGGAGTGTCGTGCAGTCACTTCCTCCCAGCAGTGATGATCTCCATCGGTATACAGGTTTGTATTCGTAATGCTTTAGTGTCCTATTTGCAGGTTTGTTTTAGGTCACCCCACCACTGTTTCCAGTAGCTAGCTAGCCATGGCTATAGTGTTCTTTTAACTGGTACTGGCTAGCAGCAGACACAGCAAACATAATGGCATGAGTGATGTAGAGACCATAATTGACATATGGTTTTCTTCTGTACTGTGCATCCTACATTATCTATTTTATTTGTGAGCTTTTTGTATTTTTCTATGCTGCCTGTCCTTTTTGGATGTCCCCTGTCTATGCCACAGTCTCTGTACTATTGCTCACTATTCCTCCATGCAGATCTAATCTAATACACTGCAAACTTCCCCCATTCTAATACACTGCCCACAAATCCAATACATTGGCCACAAATTCAATACGCTCGCCCCCCTCCACCCAATTTAATACACTGCCCCTTAATCTAATACACTGGCCCTCCTCCCCAATTTAATACACTGCCCCCTTCTCTCCCCCAATTTAATACAGTTCCCTTCCCTCCATTTGATAGTCTGCCCTCTCCCACCATTCTCATACACTTCCCCACTCTCTTCCCCAATTTAATACACTGCCCCCTCCCTCCCCTAATTTAATACACTGCCCCCTCCCTCCCTCAAATTAATACAATGGCCCCCCTTCCCATTTTAACACACTGCTTGTTCCCCCAAGCCCCTCTTCCCCTACCTTAAGATGAGCCATCCGTCCTCCAGTCCCAGCCCTGCTCTTCTCTGTTCAAGCAGGCTAGACGCTCCTCTGGCAGTGCCAGCAGGAGGTAAGGGGGGTGGCTGGCCTGTGGGAGCACGCAATTGGCCGTGGGAGGGAAGACAAGAATCAGACAAGAAATATATTTTCTGTCTTGTGGTTGGTCGCAGTCACAACACAAAGTGGCCCCAGGGCAGGTGGGCCGCAAATATATCCATTGTGGGCTGCAAGTTTGACATGCTTGATGTACACGGTATCTCAGTACCATTGCCAAATACTTACTCCCCAATGTTATAGTAACCAATTGCGCCACAAAGTAATTTCCTTAATGATACTTTTTAATTTTTTGTAACAAAATATAATCTATATTAAAAAGCAAACCACTACTTATTTTATGCATTAATTACTTAAAGGACCACTATAGTGCCAGGAAAACATACTCGTTTTACTTAAAGGACCACTATAGTGCCAGGAAAACATACTCGTTTTCCTGGCACTATAGTGCCCTGAGGGTGCCCCCACCTCAGGGACCCCCTCCCGCCCGGCTCTGGAAAGGGGAAAAGGGGTAAAACTTACCTTTTTCCAGCGCTGGGCGGAGAGCTCTCCTCCTCCGATCCTCCTCTTCTCCTCCCCGTCGGCTGTATGCGCACGCGCGGCAAGAGCTGTGCGCGCATTCAGCCGGTCACATAGGAAAGCATTCATAATGTTTTCCTATGGACGCTGGCGTGCTCTCACTGTGAAAATCACAGTGAGAAGCACGCAAGCGTCTCTAGTGGCTGTCAATGAGACAGCCACTAGAGGATTAGGGGGAAGGCTTAACCCATTCATAAACATAGCAGTTTCTCTGAAACTGCTATGTTTATAAAAGAATGGGTTAAGCCTAGCTGGACCTGGCACCCAGACCACTTCATTAAGCTGAAGTGGTCTGGGTGCCTAGAGTGGTCCTTTAATTTATTTAGTAGCTATTTGTAGAGAAAATAACAAAGTAAACAAAGACTTATTGTATTAATGAAGGTTGATTACTTCGTTGTGACAGAGAGTTTATACTCTAACTTTTTAATATGAATTCAAATTTAAGGGGTTCTCCCTTAACAATCCTCCATTAGACAAAAAACATAAGCCTTTGCCTGCATTAAATTATTGGAGATAATGCTCTATTTATTTTGTATCAGTATGTCTTATGTTTGTAACTATACATTTTTTTTTATTTGCTAAATTTGTCTCTGGACAAAGCACTGTACAAGTTGATAGACAAACATTAATAGTTATAGTTCTCCAGAAAAAAAAATAATTCTAAGTTTTAGTTAGTCTTTTCCTGTCTGTATGACATTTCCTCTGGGATCTTCTTTTCATCTATTGCATGCTAATGAATTTTGAACTTCTTTCCGGGATGGATTCTGGTGGGGTTTCTGGCTTGAATGCTGTGTGCTAATGTATGTCTTATAAAATACAGAATCAATACAAATCTACATTTGTGTCTCTGCATGACTAGACCTGAATGATAATAAAATAACAAAATACGATCTCTTTTAATAACACATATGAGCAGTCAGCACTTATATATTTAATGGGCAATGCAAATGTAATAACATAGATGAGACCTGCATGAAACATAGTAAGCAGTGTCTTGAACAATAGCCTTATTATTCCTAAACAGTATATTTGAAACTCACATTTTTTGGAGCATCAGTGTTGCTCATTAACAGTGTATCTGGTGTATCACCATTATCAATGGTTACTTAATCCACCAATCAGAGTGCTCTGTGTCATTTTACACAGCGTGGGAAAATTCCAAAGAACTTTCCCACGCTATGTAAAATAACACAGAGCACTCTGATTGGTGGATTTCAAACCAAACAATCAGAGTGCTGTGACAGGTAAATGTAGAGACTTACCTGTCAGTCTCTTAATTTACCTGTCAGAGCACTCTGATTGGATGGCTTAAACTCACTAGAGTGCCATGAGCCTAATTGCAGGGCGGGGCAAGGCTTCCCCCTCCCTGCAGAGCTCAGTCTGCACGGAGCCCTCCATGAGAGAAGAAGACATAATTTTTTTGCGCTCGTTTTTTGTTTTGTTTTTT